TAAAAACTAAATTATTCAAACTTAGCAATATTACTCTGCATGAGTTTCAGAGGGTTTTTGTGTATTCTTGGGAATTACGTCAGAAGGGCATATATCAATCACCTCAACTTCCACATTTGTTCAGTTGACAGGACTCTTTTTATTCCAAGAGGATCTCTCCTTTTCCTTATTTTTTCTTGGTAAGAAATTGCCCTTTCTTTTACAAAATGATGTTAGCAGTAGTTTGAAGCTTACATTTTTTCCCTTATAACACAAGGTTTAAAACTGCCCATTTTTGTTTTGCTTTGTTTTGTTCTCTGGAAATGTTATCTTTCTATGAAACTCCCACATCTGGGAACTGGTGACATACAGATCACTCATGAAACTTAGCTATCTCCTAGGGTTTATCATAAAGCCAGAAAAAGAACTTTTATTTTCTACTTAAATTTTATATATATATATATATATATATATATATATGACAGAGAGAGCATACGGGGAGCAGCTGGCAGAGGGAGAGGGAAAACAGGCTTCCTGCTGAGCAAGGAGCCTGATGCAGGGCTTGATCCCAGGACCCTGGAATCATGACTGGAGCTGAAGGCAGACGCTTAACTGACTGAGCCACCCAAGTGCCCCTAAACTGGAACTTTTACAAAATAAGTTGTCTTACTAGCTTTACAATCTTTCTTTCATAAGGAATATATGCTCAGTGGAAACAGATCTATAAGATATACAAAGCCATAAACAAAAAAATAAGTTCTCTATTATGACATTATTCAGAAAATAAAACGGCTGCATTTCTTTACACTTTTTAATCTTATTTTTTTTTTTACGTTTAAAGAGATTTAATTCATTTATTTGAGAGAGAGAGAGAGAGAGAGAACAAGAGCACACAAATAGGGGGAATGGGGCTGGGGGAGAGTGACAAACAGACTCCCTACTAAGCAGGGAAGTGGACTCAGGTTTTGATCCTAGGACCCCAGGATCATGACCTGAGTCAAAGGCAGATGCTTAACCAACTGAACCACCCAGGAGCCCCTAATCTTATCTTTTAAATAACATTTTTATCATATGCTTTTCCCCAACAGCCCGGTACAGTGAGGGTTACCTCTAGATAAAATCTAATATCCTTTTTGTACTTGTAATGCCATTTCTCAGACTGGTAAACCTGATTCCCATGATCTTCACTATACTTCCTTATTTGATTAAACCTTCTAAGAAATCAGCCCTATCCCTGCTGCTGTCCTTCCTTCAGCAATGCACTCTTCACCACATGTGTGTTCCCTCCCCACTCACCTGTCTACACTTCCCACTCCATCTGAGCCCCCCGTCACCCTGAGCTGGACCTACTCATGCATGGGCATCTTACTCAGTCTCTGGCTTTCCCAAGGTAGGCAGCTCCCACTTGTAGATGCTCTTCTTACCCTACTCTGGCTCCAACACCCTGCTTTGGGCTACTCCAGCTCTCCCCACAAACATGGACAACTATTTTGCTGTGCCCAACCTAAAGTCTTCAAGACTGAATTGTTCAGGAAGGGAAGGAAGGGGGAAGGAGCCATAATTATTTTGAATATTGCTTATTTTCCCTTTTGTTTCAGCAACTAAAAAGTGATATTCGGTAAAGCAAATAAATATAGTAATCTTACTTAAAGGTAAGGTTTTATTTTGCCTTACATTTCTCTTTTGTTCTAACTTGCACTATTACTTATGTTTGTTATTTTATATCTTATCAACTGTATTTTGGTCAGTCACCACCAATCCTCTGTGGAAAATACAGAGGATGTGTGAATAAATGAAGCAAGCAGGCAACTCCAGGAAGATAGGGACTCCATGTTTTGTTCAGCTACATATCCCGAGCAAATTATGTAGTGAGAATCAAAGTGAAACTGAAAATACTCAACAACTAGCAATATAATGCAAACAGAGACATCAACCAAATAGGATAAAGGGGACCTTATGCAGAGGTTCCAGGGAAGGGTGCTTCTGGAAGGGGGATGTTACTCAGGAGGTTTAGCAGTTGTTTACTAGCTAGCATGGAAACATTAAATATTTTTTACAACTTCAAGACAAATTTGTTGAGTAAGAAAGATTTTCACTGTGACATGCCTTGCTGTCTGGTTAAGTTATTTAGTCAAAGTATAGCTAGTTCTACTCAATATCAGAATCATTTCTTCAGTGAGAGGCCTGTAAGGGGCAGGAAGTGCACATTGGCAGCATCAATAAAAGCTGTGCCAGAAAACAGCAGGCTACTTGGTCTATACTGCAAGCAAGGGGAGGTAACTTCTAAACTTCCTTTAGTGAGGGACGCCTGGGTGGCACAGCAGTTGAGCATCTGCTTTTGACTCAGGGTGTGATTCCAGGGTCCTGGGATCAAGTCCTGTATCGGGTTCACCATAGGGAATCTGCTTCTCCCCTTGCCTATGTCTCTGCCTCTCACATGAATACATAAAATCTTAAAAAAAAAATAAAAAATAAACTTCCTTTAATGAAAGGCAAACCACCCAAGTGTAAGAGACTTGGAAAGAAAAATATGGAAACCAAAAGCCAACTTGGACAGATAACTGTTGATACAACAGGGTGAGATACTAATCCATGTATGAGAAAAAAGTACATTTTGTCTAAAATCTCTGTTAAGTCAACTAAAAGCTGTGGTGCATGTGCATAGTAGACACACTGCTAAACCAGAGGTTTTATTTATTTTATTTTTTTAAATTTTTTTATTTATGATAGAGAGAGAGAGAGAAAGACAGAGAGAGAGAGAGAGAGAGAGAGAGACAGAGACAGAGAGAGAGAGGCAGAGACACAGGCAGAGGGAGAAGCAGGCTCCATGCACCGGGAGCCCGACGTGGGATTCAATCCCGGGTCTCCAGGATTGTGCCCTGGGCCAAAGGCAGGCGCTAAACCGCTGCGCCACCCAGGGATCCCCCAGAGGTTTTATATGAGGCCCCAGTGAAAAAGAATATAAAGTATCCTGGTGATAATTACAAGAAGAAAGTCACTTCTCTGATGGGGTGGATTTATCATTTAGAAGAGCGCTAAATAAATGGCTGACTGACTACAGACTGTACTTGTGGACAACTGTACCATGTGACTAAGTTTGGGACCATGGGGCACGAACAGGGGTGATATGTGTAATATTTAGATCCTCTCCTTACAGGCATTTGTGCTGTATTCTCTCTCTGCCTTCTCTCTGCTCTGGGTCATCTCACTTTTAGATCGAGAACAGAAAAATAAAAACCATCTATCCATCTATCTAGTTAAGCCCCTTTATTTTTTATAAAGAGCAGAGAACAAGGACAGGGGATGTCATACTAACATAGCAAATAACTTTTCACACCTTTTCCTATTATACATCTTCATTTTATACTGACATACATTTTCATTTCCCCTTTTTAATCTGTGCTTTTGGATTATCTGTTACCTTAAACTTTGTTCTTTACTTAACTGAACTCTAACTCACATGGCAGCTTCCTTTGAAGGCATGGGCTCTCTGATGTAGAACAGACACTGTAGTGTGGGAAAGGGAAGAGTCAATTCAAAGGTTGATGATACTGCTTCTCATCCTGGGGGGGTGTCTTAGACAAACCCTAAAGTCTACTGACATAAACACTTGCAGCCAAAATTAACCTCCTAAAAAAAGGTGTAAAGATTAAATATTAGGCTTGTTTAGCTCCTAACATACTATGTCACCCCAGCCTCAAATTTTAAACTTAGCCAATATAATGAAGGCAATCTGGCAACATGGCTAACAGTGCAGATCCTGGAATTAGGACAAATTTAGGTTTGAATCTCAGCCTTCCCAGTTACTACTAATTTGACTATAGGCAAGTTAACTGTCAAAGGTGAGTAAAGTAGCTCATAGAGTAGCTGTGAAAATTAAAGAAATTAGTACACATTAAATACTCCATATACTACCATATGAGTTGTTAGGATAACTCTATTCCTTTCCATATGTTATTCCCTCTGTCTGGAACACCTTCCTCCTCTTGTTGACTTGGGGAATTCCTTCACATTCATTTACAACTTAAAGCCTGTGATGATGCCTTCTCCTCTCCTCCTGCCAGCCAGGAGCAATCTTTCCTTTATTGGTGTTACTGAGAAGACATGTATATTAATGCTGCTTTGTCTGCCTGTTTAAATAGTTGCCTCTTGTCACTGTACACATGATCCGTTTCTTCCTCATTGCTGAATCCTATTACTTGGTAGAGTGCACATTATAGGTTCTAAAATATATTTGCAAAATGAACTAAATCCTTGAATTCACACTAGAATCAACCCCCTTCTCTTCTAAGTTAAGAATGAGGCCTACCAAATACACCATTCTTTTTATCAAAAGAATTGTCCTATCAAAATGATTTAAACCAAAGCATAATCAATTAGTTTGCTGATATTACAAAAGGCAGTTATTTGATACAGGCTCTCTAATGAGAATGTTCCTGTCTAACATTTCAAGTTTTTCTTGGGAATTAAGCAGATGCAATTGAAAGGTCTTAAAAATCAGTCACCAATTGAAAGTGTATTGCTTTTGTAATAAGGAAGAAGTTATTAGAATGTTAAGGATAGAAAATAATCCTAAGAATACTTAGCATGTATATGGAAATTCTTTATAAAGTCTTCTTCTAATTTATAATTTATAAACTTTATAAAATTTATAATTTATAAACTGCTTCTTCTAATTGCCTTGTATGTAACAGTGAAAGCAGCTGTATTCCTAATCACATGGGAGGTTGTGTGTAATTAATAAGTACTACAGCAGAGATGCAAATCTATTTTGGTCAGCTTTGGTGGCCTCTGTTGTGGCCATTAAATCTAGACTTCAATAAAATATATTATTATTATTTAGTTTTCTAAAGGGAAAGAGAATATATCCATGGATCCATCTTTGAGTAAGACCAGTATTACCATTCCCTTTTAAAAACTTAATACCAGTTTCTGATGACAGTGACAATATGCAGTCTTAAAGAGTAAAAGGCACTTTGTAAAAGAGAAATTTGAAAACACCAAACATTGAAATAAAATACCTCAATGCAGATATGATGCATTCCTCCAGCCTTGTTTTTCTGCAGAAAACCTGCAATTGGACTGTCATTTCCCAATGGATGAAGCAGCTCCATCTTGGTGTTTCCCAGGTTGACAAAAACAACAGATACTCCGTGCTCAGGAAGAGGGACCACCTCACTTATCTGGGCCCCCAGAATATTCTTATAAAATGCCTTGGCTTTTTCCAAGTCTGGCACTGCAACCGCTATGTGATTGAGTCGACCCAGGTTCCATACAGGGCCTGCCACTTGAAGTGAGGACTGTGATGTGGAAAAAGTTCTCACTTTTGAAACCGGTGTCTGAAACCTAGAAAAAAGCCCTGAAAAATGGAACAGCCATTGGTATCCTTCTTTCTGAAAGCTAATGGATTTATAAAATTAATTTTTAAAAAAACTAAATGAATAATACATGTAAAAATCATTTATATACCTATTCTGGTTTTAATTCCTGAAATTAAATCAGTGAGATAAATGGAAAAAATAGGTTAAATTACTCTGCTCTGAAACAACTGTCTGAACTAAAAAACTAATTCTGAGCTTTTCAAAAGATGGCATTTTTTCATAATAATTTCTATTTACTGATAACACTTAAAGGATAACTGCACAGCACTAAGAATTACTTGCTATTCTCTACATTTCACAAGAGCTAAGTTTGAACGTGACAATGAAATACACATATTTAAAGACAAGAACATGCAATTTTCATCCCTACCTATAACCAATTTTTTGTCTTATATTCTGTAATATGTATTAAAGCCATACAAAGCTTTGCAGTGCTTTTTAATGTGATTTTTTTGAATGATTACTAAGCAAAATATCTCACTGTTGGGAAGATTAAGAGAGTTCTTAAACTTATGAGAATTCCCTCTGAGATCAGATTTTTAAAAATGCTTCTTTTTGTAATTGTGAAGAATTAGAAACAGAACTTCTGAATGTGAAGAAATCTCTTTTATTCAGAAACTGAAGAGACCTGTAATGCATTCTCCCTGTGGATTACTGTTTCCCCAGTCCCCACCACACTGGACTTTAAGAGCCAGATTCTCCCCAGAATGAAAGCTATAGACATATATAAGGTCTAAAAATAATGTTGTAATACTACATCACTTAATAAAAGGCATAAAATAGCGAACTGAAAAACACATATTCTAAAACAATTAGGTTTAGCTTTTAATGGAAAACACTTTAAACAGTACTTAATAACACAGAGCTCCAGCTAACAATTTCCCTTTACTGAAATTGCTGATAATGAGGAAATTAAAGTGACACTATTTAAGACCACAAACCTTGTGGGGAAAGGCAGTCTCATGAGTGTAGCCTTTCAACCCCCACTCAACTACAGAAGGATGAAACTTCCTTACCAGGAGATATAAAGAGCCCACTCGGCCTGTGCAGGGCTTATCACCATCACCTTGTCCTGGGAGTAGCTTTCCCTCTTTCAGACTTCGTGAATGCTCTTTTGTCTCAGCTTAAAGTGTGTGCATCATAGGGCGAAGCTCATTGCTACGTCACTCCTCTGCAAAGAGGGGACAGGGTTTTTTTGTACTGTGGCATAAGGTGTGTGTATAGATAAACTGTCCTGCACTAGCCACTGATAAAGACCCAATGACAATGGTGGACCAACACTCACCGTTAAAGGTAATCTAGCTGTCTCCTTTCTGTGTAAGTAAAGCACTATTCTATCATACTGCTTGTGTTTTCTTTGAAGACTCTGATACCAAGATGCAACAGGGAGTAGTGTTTGGAGTTCTCTCCTGGCACTGGTAACCAGTACATGGTACTCTGCTTGACAAACACGATGCATCATAAGTCAGAAGAAGGCAAAATTCAGCCTAAGATACTCTTCTGCTATGCTCGAGCCTGTATTACTGATTATTGAAATACCCAAAGGTTGTCATTATCAATAGGCTGACACAGATCAATTCTTGGATTCACCATATTATGAAGTTCAAGTGTACTCCAACCTAGTACACAAATACATAAATGTACAAGTGAAAGAAAATTTCATAAAAAGCAGATCTGATTCTCAATAGATGTGATGTGGTCTGATAGTTTCTACTCTCTTATATTTTACTTCAGCTAAAAAAAAATTCTGGTACTACCTGCTAAATATCTACCTTGCTAAGTTTGTTGTAAAGATTAGATATTTGGTGTAAAAAATATAATACAGTGCCAAGCATACATAATAGGTGTAGAATAAATTCAGCCATTCTTATTGTTACTGACATAAAATGATCATTTGCTAACTGTCTGGTATTCAGGGTAATCTGTGGAGACCAAGAAATTATCTTGAGAGCATGGTGGTAGCAAATTTTAAAAATGTCAACAACCAACAAAATCATTGGTCAAACTGCTTTTCCTTTCTTTCCTTGCATCCCTATCTGTGCATTTTGCAATGAAAGTCCAATACAGAATGTATTTGCATTTAAAAAAAAAATTGTAGGTAAGGCCAGTGATCTTTAGAGTAAAATGCACATAAAAAAAAGTCGTTTGCACTGTGAAGTTTTAAGGGTATGTCAAATATTGAGTTTAGATATTTCTGAATTCTTATCAGTGTTATCTCTATAAGAGATGGGCAGCTGGTGGTTTTTTGGCAGGCCTCCTATTACTAGCAATGGAACATAGAGAAATATCAGAGGACAAATTACAAGATGTCCAAGTGAAGGTGAAGTTTTATACACTGTTCCAGTTTGTTGGGGAACATTCCAAAACTTTTGACACTGAGAAGGAAGCCCAAGCAAATCATGTTATTGGAAGCATCCCCGTAGTCAGTCTACCTTTCTCCATAATCACCTTCTCATTTGGAAATGGGAGAAGAGGAGTTATTAGAATGACTGGCTCTTTTTCTCTTTAATGGAACACAAAATCTTCATTATATGTTAGAACAATAGAAAGATAACATCTTTATATAATGTGAAAGTCAAGACTTTGTAGTTATAGGATTACCTTATCTCTAGAAATTTAAATTAGTTTGAGGAAAGAGGTATTACCTTATTGGCTTTATTAGGTCCCTAGGAACAGAACAAAAATAAACCCCGTGAGAATTCAACAATTCAACTTCTTTAAAATGAAGGGTTAAGAGGGACGCCTGGCTGGTTCACTTGTTATGAGGCTCTTGATCTCGGGGTCATGAGGTCGAGTCCCACTGTGGGTAGATTACTTAAATAAACTTTAAAAAAAAAAGAAGTGTTAAGAACTTAAAAATGGCCAAAAAACATATAAGATACTCAGTATAATTAGCTGTTAGGGAAAGGTAAATAAAAAACACAATAGGATACCAGTTCATACCCACAACTACAAGTGATCATGAGGATATGGAGAAACTGGACATTGCTGGTATATTGCTTGTATCATTTCTGGTAAGAATGTAAAATGATAGAGCTGCCATGGAACAGCATGGAAAACTCAAGAAATTAAATATACAATTAGCATGTGACTCAGAAATTCCACTCCTTGGTACCTAAAATAATTGAAAATATGTACTCAAACAAAAACTGGATACAAACTTTCATGACAGGACTATGACATGACAGCACTTTCATGACCAAACAATGGCAAATGACTCATATTCATAAAGTGGAATTTATTTTTTAAAGATTTTATTTGTTCACGAGAGACACACAGAGAGAGGCAGAGACATAGGCAGAGGGAGAAGCAGGCTCCCTGCAGAGAGCCAGATGTGGGACTTGATTCCTGTTCTCAAGATCACACCCTAAGCGGAAGGCAGACTCAACCACTGAGCCACCCAGGCATCCCATGCCTCTGGCAAATTTTAAATGATATTTTTAATTTAAGTTGCCCTCTGACTGGTAGGAATTCACAGCTCTAGTTTCAGGTTTCTCTGCCTCCCATCTCAGAAAGGTACAACTAACTGCATTACTTTGAATTCTGTAATGTATAATTTGTGACTATTCCATATAGTTTTACAATAAACTACAATGTATAAATATGTAAATGAATCAGGTATTTAAGCCTGTTGGAACCCTGGGTGGCTCAGCAGGTTAAGCAGCCAACTAGATTTCAGCTCAGGTCATGCATGATCTCAGGGTGGTGAGATCACACAGATTTCTCTGGCACTCTCTCTCTCCCCCTTTGCCACCCCCCCCCCTTATGTGAACACACACACTCTCAAATAAATAAATCTTAAAAAAAAAAATAAAAACAAAAAAACCCAGGAGTGTTAAAACCCAATAGGATTGCAAAGATGAATATCTACAGATTTAAAAAACAAATGACTTCCACAAATCAGGAATCTGATATATAAGAAATAGCTTACCAAATCTGGTGTGTATGTTAACTCTCATTCTTATCTTTCCCTCAATATCGGCACTTGCTAAATACTTTCAATGCCTTGACTTAAAAATAACATTGCATTTCCTTCCATTCAGATTGCATTTATTTCAGACCAGTCTTCCCAAACACTGGCTCCAAATAAGTTAAAGGTTTAGCTACAAGGGCCTATACTCAACTGCATTAAGGGTACTTACTGTTTAAAAGAAATTATGTTAAATACGTATATAAAGTGTCACAAAATTGTGAGTAGTCACTTGTAGTAAGGTCTTCCTAACTTCTCACTGAGATATAATTTAAACACTATTAGGTTCACTCATTTGAGGTGTATAATTCAATGTTTTCTTATACATTTGCAAAATTGTGCAAACTTTACATAACATAACCTAAATTTAGAACATGTAATAGTTTGTTAAAGTCTGAACTTTCGTATATCTTGCTTGAGGAAATATAACATACTTAGAAAGCCATTCATCAGAAGTGCCTTCAAGTTGTTTGGTGAGAAGCCCCTATGTTTTCTGCATTCAGCCAGTGGATGTCACAGCATCATATACTATTTTCAACCTGTTTAAAACTCTGCTAAGAATAACTCTTTACTCACACAGTCGGTAAACAGACTGTGTTTCTGTACCCCACATACACATGACTCCATAATAAAAGTAAATCTCTCCTTAGAGTCCTAAAACTTGGCCACTGTTGTCTCCTAAGAGGATCATCTTCTATTTTCAAAACTACCTTTTTTCATGAGTCCATCCTTTGCAAGCCAAATTGGAATTTATTGTGTGTACTCATAGGATTTATTTTTCTGAGCTTCTTCTGATTTTTTTGTGAAGTATTATGTTCCTTAAAGATAGGGTTATAACCTAAGATTACCATATTATCCAGCAATCCCACTTTTGGGTATATATTTAAAAGAACTGAAAATAGGACTTCAAGGAGAGATTTCTATATTCATGTTCATAGATGTATTATTCACAATAGCCAAAATCTGGAAATAATCCAAGTGTCCATTGACAGATGAAAGTATAAGATGTGATATACATGTACAATGCAATATTATTCAACTTTTAAAAGGAATGAAGTTCTGACACATGGTACAATATGCATACACTTTAAAAACATGCTAAGAGAAACAAGCCTTAGAACAAAAGAATAAATACTGTATAATTCCACATTAATACAGCAACTGAAGTAGTCAATTTCATAGAAATTAGAATAGTCGTTTCCCAGAGGTTGGGGTAAGAGATAACGGGCTTATTTATCAATGGGTATAGAGGTTCAGGTTGGGATGATGAAAAGTTCTGGAGCTGGATGGTTGTGATGGCTGCACAACACAAACATACAGTTGAGTCTTGAGCAAAATGGGAGTCTCAGAGTGCTGATCACCAACACAGTAAAAAAACGCACATAACTTTCGACTACCCAAAATCTTACCTGTTAACCAAAAGTCTTACTGATTAACATAGTCAATTAACACACACTTTACATTATATGTAATTATATGCTATATTCTTACAACAAAGCTAGAGAAAATATTAAGAAAATTGTAAGAGAAAATATATCTACAGTACTGTACTATAAAATTATGAGTATAACTGGACCCATGCAATTCAAACATGTGTTTTGTTCAAGGGTCAATTGTATTTAATGCCACTGAACTGTACACCTAAATATAGTTAAAGTGGCAAATTTTGTTATGTATATTTAACCACAATAAAAGAAAAAGGGAGTTATTTAAGGTTCAAGCATCTAATAAAATAGCAGAGTAAATCAAAGCCAGCCTTTGGAATATACCTTGTTTTCATTTTACTTTTCTCTTATGATGATGTCTATATACTTTACCAATATATATATATATATATATATATATATATATATATATATATATATATATATATTAGTATTCAGTTCTTGCCATAAAGTATGACTTGTTGGAAATTACATTCCCTTCCTCTTAATACCCCCCATTAACTACTGAATAAAAGTATTTCTAAAAATACACATATAAAAATGTCTCTTCTCCAATATTCAAATTATTATTTATATGTTTACTTTTAGGTTTTGTGATTAAGTATCATATGACAAGCAGCACGTGTTACAGTTAAGAATGTGGGCTCCAGCGTTACACTGCCCTGGTTTAAATCTTGACCTACTATTCATTCTGTAACTTGGGCTAGTTACTTACCCACTATATCTTTCTTTTCTCATATAGGAAGATAATGCCTACCTCATAGAATTGTCATGAGGCTAAAATGAATAATATATACAAAGGGTTTAGAAAAGTGCCTGGCACAAGTACATAACAAATACCAAGAACTATGATTATGGGCACTTACAGGAAGGTTACATAATAACTTACTTATAAATGCAAGCATCTCTGACTTCTAACATATGTTACGCTTTTAAAGGAAAAAAACTGTGTACATACCCTATATACATATATACTAGAGTTATGCTAAAAATTTTACTCAAACACTAAATATTACTTGTATTTTTGCCAATGTTTTGGCATACACAGTATTTCTGTATTCCCTGCATCATTTCATCAATCCACAACTTGCTACTTTTTACGATAAGGAGTCTATTCTCCTTTTACTCTGGAAAACTTACTGTGCGGGCTGTGATTTTAGAAGATCTTTGGTAGTATTTCAGTATTCAGTGACTACTGACATCATGATTTCATAAAACTACAGTATTTAGTAACTACTGACACCCTGGTGGAATAATGCTTTTGAAAGGTATTAGAGGCAGTCTTCTTTTTGCCTTTTTTTTAAAATATATATTTTATTTATTTATTCACAAGAGACACAGAGCCAGAGGTAGAGACATAGGCAGAGGGAGAAGCAGGTTCCCTGTGGGGAGCTTGATGCAGGACTCGATCCCTGGACCCTGGGGATCACAACCTGAGCCAAAGGCAGAGGCTCAACCACTGAGCCACCCAGGGGTCCCCTCTTTTTGCTTTTTGATACAAGAATAGTGATTTACAATTTTTTCAAGTTAAAATCAGTTGTTTATAATAACCCTCTAACTCATCCACACTGCTTGTGACTATTGCTTTAACTTGAAAACTCCTTTTAATATCACAGAGAAGTGGAAACTGGTAACAATTCTGCCTTTCAAGAATGTGTAAGCTGCTTATTATCCCCAGTGCAGATATGTTCTAGTCTCTAGGCATTCTACACACTGCTGGGGTTTACCAACAGTAGAGAACTGAATCCTGTGGCATAACATGTACCATCTTGCTGATTTGACCTCACTCATCAGGAGAGACCCATGGCTTTATTTCATTGTTAGAGTTATGCAACAATACTACCATGTAAGCTTGCTTAAATCTGTAATCTTGCCTAAGCAAACTGTGAAATCATCAATTCTGAAGTGGGAATATATCATGTGGTAGTCTAGCTCTGCCTATTAGTCCTCATGACCATAAAATAGACATAACAGTAATAGTTCAGGAAACACTTTAATCTTCACCATAACTCTGTGCATCAGACAATATTATTTTTCCCATTTGCAAACATGGAAAATAGGCCTGATTAAGTAATTTCTTCAAGGTCGTACTAAGCTTGGGCCTCAAGCCCAGGTCTGTCTGCATCAAAGTTGATATTGTTAAACCATGATGTTGAATTCTTTTTCCTCTGAAATTTTTACCATTCCTTTGATTCTCAGTTTTTAATATCCTTAGTGTATGTTTTATGAACAATATCTACATTCTAACAGATGGCTTCCTAAGAGACGATAAGAGACAGCACTTTCTTATTTTTTTAATCTTTGTTTTTTGGAAAGTGTTACTTGCAATCGTGTGTAAGCTAAGGGTGTGTTATTATCAACACTTGAGGATCATTTATTAGATTCATTTCAACAAGCTGTGCTCAGCCTGTTGTAATATTTTTTCATGTATACCTATCACCTCTTTAAACTGACAAAGTACTGAAATAACTAAAACTATTATGGAGCACTTCTTTTTATGTGGCCCATCACTTAGCCCTGATGACATACAGTGATAAGTGTATAAGAAATGTTGTGACTGGTTGAGAAAGACTGTAGTGGTCAATAAAGAATTGGTTAGGGGCACGTGGGTGGCTCTGTGGTTGAGCCTTTGGTTCAGGGCATGATTCCGGGGTCCTGGGATGGAGTCCTGAATCAGGTTCCCCACAATGCGCCTGTTTCTCCCTCTGCCTATGTATCTGCCTCTCTCTGTGTCTCTCATGAATAAATACATGGAATCTTTAAAAAGAGGAAAAAAAGAAAAAGAACTGGTTAGTTTGAGATGGGAGTTCAAAGGAGGACTAGAACTGTTAAGTTTGACCAGAGACAGCACTATCCAGCAAAGAGATCTAACATTATTAAAGGTTCACCCCCTGAATACTTTCTGAAGGCTTATGGCAAATGTTCAGGAATAACTTTGGACACGTTACACACTTGGCACTCTTCCTAATAAGAAATTTCAGAATTCAAATAGTGGCTCTCTGACAAAGAAGAGTGAAAAGAGAGAAACAGGAGAAAGTGGGTAGCCTGAGAGTCAGAAAAATTGAGTGTGATTACTGAGTCTCTCTAGTTTTTTTTTTTTTTATTTAACGGAGGTTTAGAGGACTCAAGGAACTTTCCAAATCCGTCTGCCTTTGTCTTTCCTGTTTACACAGAGAATAGCAAACATATTAGGGCAGGAGGGAAACAATACTCTTGGTGTTCTTTACACAGCTGACCTCCAAGTGTTCCTAGGATACTGGAAGTACTTAGGACTTCAGCTTACGTTTATTTTTTTATTTTTTATTTTTTTAAAGATTTTTATTCACTTATTCATGAGAGACAGAGAGAGTGGTAGAGACATAGGCTTGGGGAGAAGCAGGATCCCTGCGGGGAGACCAATGCGGGGACTCCATCCGAGGACCCCGGGGTCAGCCGGGGTCAGCCGTGAGCCAAAGGCCGACGCTCCACCTCTGAGCCACCCGGGTGCCCCCAGCCTACGTTTCTTAAAGGACTCGCCCCACTCTCCTAGAGTGCACGGAGATCAGAACTCACTGTCCCTCTGCCATTTTCTCACCCACTTCTGTTCCAGCCGGGCCATCTGTCCCCGTCGGCAGGTCCCTTCCCCTCTCTGGGGTCACCTATCTTTTTCTTTTTAATTTTATTTGACGGGGGGGGGGCACAAGGAGGGGGACAGTAGGCAGAGGGAGGGAGAGGAAGAAGCAGGCTCCCCCTGGAGCAGAGAGCCAGCCTGACGTGGGGCTCTATCCCAGGGCAAAGGGATCACGATCCGAGCCGAAGGCAGACGCTTAATCAACTAAGCCACGCAGGCGCCGCGTCAATCTACAGATGGCAAGGTCAAGCGCACACACCCGGGGCGGGGGGTGCCAGCGAGGCTCGGACGCTGTAAGGAAACCCCACGCCAACCTGAGGCGTTCCTGGGAGGTCCCTCCCGCCTACAGGTGCTCACAGGTGACCAAGCCCAGGGGCGCGGGTGCTCCGGCCGCCGGCCTCCTCCGTCAGCCCCCCGCGCTCGCGCCCCGCGCGCCCCGCTCCCCGGCAGGCCGGACCGCGCGGGGTACTCACCCACCGCGCCCGCCGCCGCCGCCGCCGCGGCCGCCACTTTCAACACGCGCGCCATCTTGGGAAGTGAACCGCGCAACCCCGCGAGAGGCTCCACGTGGGGGGGGCGGGGGAGGAGCTCCGCCGAGCGGCGGGGTTAGCCGGCCGGGGGCGGGGCCTGAGAGGCTGGGGGCGCGGCGCGCGGGGCCGCCTTGCTGTGCTTCCGCCGCTGGGCTCGCTCTTGCCTTACGTGTCGAAGCCACCCAGTGCATCTAAAGCAGAAACGTATACGAAGGACGCATCACCCCTGTGGGCCTTTCAGGAATACAAAACGGTAAGTTTGGAGAAAGTTCAAAGGCGCTAGAACGGACCAACGGCCCAGTGAAAGTTCTTGCGCTGCCATTGGCTCCGGCAGGGGGTGTGTCCGGAACCTGTGCGCCGCGGAACCTTCTCCTCCCCGGCCCAGGGTGCGCGAGGCGCGTTTTTGTGGCGCGGTTTCCGGTCGGACCTTTTTCCTGTGCATGCGGCGCTGTGTCCCGAGCGCGGACGGCGATGGCCCCGCGGGTCTGGCGTCGACGGACCCTGGAGCGGTGCCTGAAGGAGGTCGGTAAAGCCACCGGCCAGCCGGAGTGCTTTCTCACGTAAGTGAACAGAGCCAGGGTTCGGGGGTGTCGCCCAGGTCTCACACGTGGGTGCCGACTGCTGGCCCTTTGCAAATTCTGCAGTAGGGGGAAGACACAGGGAAGCCTACATCTGTTTCCCCCACATTCCAGATACTTTACGCTCCCTTAGCCCATCAAAACATTTACATTTTAAATGTTGTACAGTGCATGGGGCGCCTGGGTGGTTCAGTCTGTTGAGCGTCTGCCTTTAGCTCAGGTCATGATCCTGGAGTCCTGGGATCGAGTCCTGCATCGGGCTCTCCACAGGGAGCCTGCTTCTCCCTCGGCCTATGCCTCTGTCTCTCTCTGTGTGTCTCTCATGAATAAATAAGTAAAATCTTTAAAAAAAAATGCTGTATAGTGCAGATCTGTCGGCTGCATGCTAACAAAACTAGGCTCGATTTTTAACTCCCAGAGGCTCCCCCTGGGACTTCCGCACCCCTGCGCTTCCCACAGAAGCGCACTAGGCCGGCTGATCTTCCAACATGCTCCCAGACCACTCAGTGCTTATTTATCATACTTTAGAGAAAGTATTAAATTTGCTGTTTACCTATCCTCCCCCCGCCCCGCCCCGCTTTGATGAGCTTCTTGAGAATTAGGACTGTCTTTCTTTCATTTTTCTTCCCAACACAAGTTCCTTGTATTTCATTGAAGGACTTGATAAAGTAGGATCTATGAAAGTATGCCTCTTGGATTTGTATTTCACTCGTGACCTTTCCCTTGAGCTTCAAGCTCATAGTGGCAACAGCCATCTGCTCTCTCAGCATCTGAAATTTCTTATGTCTAAAATGAAGTGGTTTTTTTTTTAAGATTTTACTTATTCGTGAGAGACACAGAGAGGGGGCAGATACAGGCAGAGGGAGCAGCAGTCTCCATAGTGGGAGCCTGATTTAGGACTGCATCCCAAGACCCCAGGATCACGACCTGAGCCCACGGCAGGCGCTCAACCACTGAGCCACCCAGGCAGACCAGAACTGTTGTTTCTGTTTACTCTATGCTCTGCCTTCCCTGAAATTTTTCCCATGTGCTCCCACCACCTGCCTTCCCTATCTGAGTAAATGGCATCTCTGTTTTTTCTTCACACATATAATTACTTACTTGATATCTTCATTTTTCTCATTTCTACCACTAATTCATCAGCAAATCCTGTCCTTCAAACTATATTCTCAGTTTGACTGCTTCTTACTGCATCTGCTTTTTTAACTCTCGCACAGTTCTTATCCTTTGCCTGGATGGCTGTGTCAGCCTTGTCACTGTGCTTTGATTCCTTTTCCTCTGTTGGCCATCTTTCCAAAGTGTAAATTAATATCATTTTGCTACTCTGCTTAAAATCTTCTGATGGCTTCTCTTTACACTTAAAACCGCAGACTCCATCTCTGAGCCCTGCCTTAATTCAGCTCCCGTCTACCTCCCTGGCCTTCTGCCTCCTTCAAAATACTTTAGCCACACTGGCATTTCTGTTCCTCAAACTCACCAAGCTCATTTCCATCTTAAGAAATTTGTTTTCAATGTTTTTCTGCTTGGAATATATGTTTCCAGATCTTTTATTCATTTTTTTTAATTTTTTTAATTTTTATTTATTTATGATAGTCACACACAGAGAGAGAGAGAGGCAGAGACACAGGGAGAGGGAGAAGCAGGCTCCATGCACCGGGAGCCCGACGTGGGATTCGATCCCGGGTCTCCAGGATCGTGCCCTGGGCCAAAGGCAGGCGCTAAACCGCTGCGCCACCCAGGGATCCCTGTTTCCAGATCTTTTAAAGACCATCTCTTTATATACAGGTCTCATTTCAGATGTCATATCTTCAGAGAGGTTATTTTCTGAGCACTCTTGCCAAAGCAAGTGTTAACCATTGGTTGAGCGAATGGAGTGGCATATAATATAGCAGAGTTGAGCATTTAAGGCTGAGATTCACTATATATCTTTAGGCAAAGAGGTGCATAATAGTTTCCCTGCCTAAAATCTATACAGCAGATTTCACAGACACTTAGTTTATTATATTAATGTGGCTCTTTAGCAAGATAATACACTCTTCGGGGCCAGCTTCTATACTTAAAATTGACATTTCGTTCAAATTAGATTTTGCACAAGAGTCGGGGTTCTTTTAATTCACAGTGCTGTGAAATTATTGCCTGTAATTATAAATCTCTTTAAACTTTCTCCCTGTGCTCCTTTAATAGGATTCAAGATGAATTGGCATCAAACTTCACTTCATTAACAAAAGTACTTTATGATTTTAATAAAATATTAGAGAATGACAGGATGCACGGAAGTCCGTTACAAAAACTGGTGATAGACAATTTTGATGATGAGCAGATTTGGCAACAACTAGAATTGCAAAATGAACCAATTTTACAGTACTTCCAGAATGCAGTTAGCAAAACCATTAAAGATGAAGACATCAGTCTTCTTCCAGAGATTGAAGAGCCAGAGTATGAAGAGGATGGCTCAGAGGTGGAGTCTGATGGCCAGGAGGCCCTCAAACAAGATGTGGTGGAGGAGGAAGTGGCTGACCTGAGTGGTAATAATCCTAAAGGGGATGAGAGAGCTAAAAACTTGAGCAAAGTTGATCTGAGGAAAAGTCCAGTTTTCAGTGATGAAGATTCAGATCTTGATTTTGACATTAGCAAATTGGAGCAACAAAGCAAGATGCCAGACAAAGTGCCTAGGAAACTAAGAGAGAAGTCGGTGGTAGATGATAAATTTTTCAAGCTATCTGAAATGGAGACCTTTTTAGAAAACATGGAAAAGGAAGAACAACAGAAAGATGATGAGGAAGAGGAAGATATTGATTTTTTTGAAGACATTAATTCTGATGAAGATGAAGGAGAACTGTTTGGAAGTCAAAAACCTAAGGTAAAGTTTTTTGGGGGAAGAGAGAAGGACTTTTTACCTCCTTAAAATTAGATTTTTGTTTCTTGAGAGGAGGTTTAAAATATCTCAAAACTCAACCAGAGCATGAGTGAAATATTTACATCAGTTGAGAACAATGGACTAGAAAAATTAAATCAAAGCTATCATTTCCTTATCACAGAATACTGTAGCATAAGAACCTTAATCACCCAGGTTAGACGTATTTAGAATTTCCCTCAAACATATTCTCACCAAACACTAAAAATAATAATAGGGAGAGGAAGACATTTGTATACTGTAGGCAGGGATATTTCAGAAATGATTATGGTTAAAAGCTTTAGCATTAGGAATACTGTGCTTTGTCTTAATTGGTTATAAATGAATCTATGCTTTCTTCTAGTTTCTCATAGTCTAGTAGTTTTTAGGGCTTTATGATAAAGTTGTCAGTTGCCAGTTCCTTTTATGTTATATGCATACACATATATATGATTTAATGTCTTATTCTGTTCTTAATTGAAAACTTGAAACAGCTTTTTTACTTTAGTCAGGTAAAAGTTCCAGAAACCTCAAATACAAAGACTTCTTTGATCCAGTTGAAAGTGATGAAGACCTAGCAAGTGTTCATGATGAACTGGGTTCAAATGAAGAAGAAGAAGAGGAAGAAATTGCTGATGAAGAGGAAGAGAGCATTTCTGAAATGTGAGTATTTTGAATCCTTTACATTGAAGCTAGAGCCACCCAATATATGTGTGTACTCATAGTTGTCAAATGTGTTTGTCTTAGGTAGTTATATTCTCTAAGATCAGATAGTCTCAAGATAGCCAGAAGAAAGTCTCTGAGTTTAAAAGGGGCATTCGAGATCACCTAGTGAAGATAAATATCACTGGCAGTACAAATCAGGCCTTTGTTACAAGGAGCTTTTGTTCGCTTTTTGTGCCACTAAAAATACCTTACTGTTACTTTTGTGGATACATTTATATTATAGATTGAGGAATAATTTACTTTCTATAATTATAGAAATAGCTCACTCTTTGGTCTATTTCACCTAAATAATATCTTCTGTTCCTTAATAACTGAATGACTTTGGAATTCTGACTATTTGCATTAGGTATATAAAATATCTTTAGTTACTAGAAAAATTGGTTTTTGTTTTCCTAATGAAAAATAGTGTATTATTCTTTCATATGTGTTTTGGTATTATAGGGATGAAGATAATGACCTTGAAGAAAGTGAAGACAGTAAACAACATAAAGAAACCTCAAAAAGAGTGACCTTTGCTTTGCCAAATGATGATGAAAGTGAGGATACAAGTATCTTAAATGTACAGAAAGATTCTGATGATGTTAAATCCTCTTTTGAAAAAAGACAGGAAAAGGTAATAATTAGAAATTTAAGGAATTTTTTTTATATGCTTATCAAGACTGTGAGACTCAAGATAACTAATCTGCTCTGTAGTTCTTGGTGGAATGTGTAATTATCTTTTAAAAAACAAAACAAAAATCTTGCTGCTACTCTCTACTGGACACTGTATAGAGATGCCCATATGGAAGGTAGCTAATTTGTAAAAGTCAGTGCTGCATTTCCCAACCTGTGGCTTTTGATTTGTGTAAAAACCTGTTTTTCCTAATGCCCCTGGTTTCTTTATACCTAATGG